TTCATCAGTGACTTGATGAGCTGTCAGCTATGTTTACGTAGAATCAACATGTTCTATCATGATTTTCCCGTTTTTCAATCAAATCATAGAGAATATGATATCTAATCTCAATGTGATGCAATCTTCATGTTAAGAATTTTCTCTTTGCTAGATCAATTGCTCCCTTATTGTCAACTCATAGATGTGAGCATATTTTCACTTTTTCATCATTCATCAACTCAGTGTTATATAACAGGTTGCATCATCTGTTATACTCAATCAATAACTTACACTCTCTCTAGTGAGAGTGTCATTTCTGTTGAAAAGTGTTTTTCCACTCTCTGTCAGATTGATAAAGAATCTCATTGTCAGCTTAACAGCTTGTGTCATAGATATGAAGATTGAACATGTTATTTTTGTCTGAACACAGACTTTGCAGAATGATAAAGCTTGTTAATCAATAATTCTCATCTCTAGACATGAGTCTGCTGTCATTTTTGCAATATTCACAGGATTTAGATGTTCTAGCTTTTAATATCATTACATCATCATAAGTTCAGATCAAGTCTCTGTATGTAACTAGTCTTTTCATCTTATAGATATCATTCTCATTTAATCTTGCTGTAAATGAGAACATGTGATTGAGAGATATAATTAACATAGTATGATTATTTTCATATGTTAACTGCTTATAGATATAACTCTGATGTATAAGCTTATTCATACTCATGAGATTCACTTCTAACTTCAGAACATAGCAGACATCATTTAACAGTATATTCACTTCTTTCACTGAGATCTTTGTATCTTCTATAGCTATAGCAGAGATCACTGTTTCATCTGTCATTTTCAACATCACTTTCATCTTCTGAGGTTTTGTCATAACAAGATTCCTGTGAAGTGTGATGTAAGTGCTCAATTCAGAGTCTAGAATTCAGATATCTTTTTCTATCTGATCACTTACATAGGTCTTTTTCTTGATGTAAAATACTTGCTTCATGACATTGTAAATAGAAGCAGTATCTGTATTCTTCACATCCTTGTCTTTATTCTTGTTTCTATTTGTATTGAAGTTTGAAGAATGTTTCTCAGAGTATTTCTTTCAACAGTCAGTCTGAATATGATTAACTTTTTGACAATGATAGCATGTTCTCACATCATTAACTCTACATTCAGGTTTGAATTCAGTGTTCTTGTCCTTGTTATTGTCTTTGTTCTTGTCTTTCTTATCCTTGTCTTGAGCATTATTTGCAGAGATCTTTTCATCAGAGATGAGAGATTCATCAGTAGCTGACAATTGTAGAAGAATATCTCAACACAATTCTATGAAATCATCTTCAAGTATTCTAGCATTCTCATTCTTCTCTATTATATTCATTCAATTCTTTATAAAAGATGATCAATCTTTACTAATCTCTGTAAGAAGTCTGTTAAAAAACATGAAATCTTCAATATTATATCTCAATTGAATATAATCAGTCCTGATTGTGATTAAACATTTGATAAATATGTGATCAGAATTCTTTGATTTTGATATCATCTCAATCAATTCTTGAAACAGATGAGTTCTGTGAACAGCAGGTCTCTCAGTGAAATTATTCTCTATGACAGATTATAGAGAATAAGCAGATAGTTGAGACTTCTTAAGTATAATAAAGTGAGATTTGATCTGCAGGATAATCACAGACTATATATAGTTATATAGTCAGATATTTTATTCTGATCAAAAATATTGCATATTCATGCTGATATTCTTATCAGAATTAATCTGCTTATCATTAAGAATATCATTCATTTCAGATTATCTTACTGTGAGCAGAATCTCTTCTTTTCATATAGAATAATTTACAGAGTCAGTGAGTACAACAGACTTCTTTATAGATCTTACTTAATCTCTGAATTCATTAAGAATCTTTATCAATGCAGATGTTCTATTCTTCTGTTGAAGATAGTTCATTAAATCTACACTAAGCTCTTTATTTTCATCTCTATCTGTCTTCATTTGCTTGACTTCATGCTGAAGTCTTGTAATTTCTAGTCTCATGCAAGTCTTCTCACTCACAGAGCTATTATTATTCTAGTCACTTGAGCTCTCTGCATTGTCTGACATCTCACTGATATCTTCAACTGAGTCTTCATATTCATTGTTAAACTTGTCAGACTGTTCTTTCATGATCATGTCATCTGACTCAAACATCTCAGAAGCTGTCTTCTGATTTATTATTAACATTGACAGTGATCTGTGATCTTGCATTTGCTGCTCTGATGTTTTCTTATTTCTTTATCTTGAAGGCATGTATTCTTTTGTTAAGTTAGATATTTCCTCAGATCTTAGATTAATCATGAGTTCAATCACTCAATAAATCATCTAGACACGCTTGTAATAACATGTGAAGATGTCAATTACACATTATTACAGTTATTCATTGCTTATGAAGAGCTTCATAATCTCTTGAAGAATAACATTGTTATGTTGTAATCTAACTACACAAGTTACACTAAATGAATAGATTGAGGTGGCACGTGACTAGAGTAGGTGTAGTAATCACCAACATTATATCAGGTCACGTGATCTAACTTACTAATTCTTTTATCATATAACTTCTCACAAGCTAGTAATCTTTTCAATTAAGCAAGCTTTATATCTTTCACAGGTTATGAGACCTGTTTTACACAAAAATGCTGTCAATTCAGAATTTCTTGTTAATAATTATTATTTTAACTACTGCTTCATTCAATACATCTATCAGGTGTTAAAAATCATCTTATTCAATCAGTATTGACGCGTTTGAGATCTTGTTGATTAATAATACTACTACTTACTTAAAAAGAAGCTTGCAGAAAACACATCACATTACAAAAAAAAAAAAAAAAAAAAGCAAGAAAAAGAGAATAATATTGACAAGAATTCAATAAATGAATATCAAGATAATGAATTCAACATAATCTCACTTACACATATGTTCACAATCTCACATTCTATTTACTGAGTCAGTTGTAGTTGATGATGATGATTCTTTATACTTATACTCTATCAGTGAATATTCTTCTGAAGTATTTGAAAGCTTTATTGATAAACACTCTGAAACACTGTCTCAATTCAAAGCTGATTTGAATACAGCTTCTGACATAGTCAGGCCGGCTCTCTGATCTACTTGACAGCTTAGTACTGATTCTCATAATGAGAATAACAGATACTCAGATATCTACTATTCAGATAAGACAATATCAGATCAGCAGATGAAACATCTTAAGATAATATTTAAGATGAAGAAGAAGAGACAAAGAGTTCTAGAGCTTGAATTACAACTGAAAAAACTTCATTAACAGAGATTCTCAGTCTCTACAGATTAATCTCAGAATATTAATAATTATTTTATTATTACTTCAACAGTCTGTACAGTCATATGAGATTCTAATCTCAGTGAAAGGTTGAAATTCAATCTCTATAAATTGAATAGCCGTGTTGACAAGACAATCTCTCATTTTAAGAAAGATGTTAAGAATACTATGAGATTAAACAGTCTAACTGACACATTTAACTACACTATATAGAGTATCTTTATAAAAGTGAAACTGATTGATACATAGTGTTAATACATGATAGAGAAATAACAGACTTAGTGTAAGAAATCCCACTTCTCGCGGATTCTTTACCTCTATTCCTATCTCTCACGTAATCAATAGAGTTAGCAGCCCTTGGCTACACATAACTATATAGACTGGAGTTCGCGAATACTATTTATAACTCAGCTTGAATGCTATTATATATTTGATTTCTACATTTATCTTTCTATCATGAATACTTCTAGTAGTTAACAGTACATATCACATCAAGCTGCAAACACCTGAATAATTGTCTGTAAGCACTTATTCTTACATTTCAAGCTCTGTCAATCAGCAATTATCTGCTATAACTGAAAGAACTAGAAACTTGCATGCTTCAACCCCTGCAAACTCTACTACAGACACTCAGAAGTAGTCACCTGAATCATGAATAACTCTTATAAAAGAAGTCTCAGAGAAGTTATTAATCACTTACAGAACATCATTCTCTGCATCTGTAATAGAGAAACTCTCTGAACTGATGAATGAATTAATCTTAGTAAAGAACATTCTTGAGTATCTCTCACAGAATCAAGCTATTTTTCTAAGAAATACTTACTGTCTGCAAACACTCTTGAACTGAGTCTCTAGACATGATCTTCAGAGACACTCATAAACTGAAAAGAAACTTTCTTAAGCTGTAATCACTTAAGATTATCTACTGAATCACAATCTATAAAAGCTTTTATCAGTTTGTATTTAAAATTGACTTACAAGTCTGACTGTGTGATATAAAAGATGAAGAAGCTGTTATCTATGTAATAACAGACCTCTACTACACTGAAGTCAAGAACTGACTGAATTATCTAGAGAATGATTATGAAAGATCTCACTGATCTGTTCTTAAAACCTATCTGAAGAATAAGTTAAGAGACTTCACAAGTTGAACAGAGAATATCTGAGCTGTAATCATTAATATTAGAAAAAGAGACAAGGAATCTGATGAAGACTACTCACAGTACTTCATAGAATTATGATATAAATTGAGATCTGTGAAAACAGAGCTCTGAAATAAGATCTGAATAATGATATTCATAAAGAGACTGAATAAAAGTATGTAGAACAAGCTCATTGAGCAAGACTCTAAGCTCTTGATTCTGAAGAAACTGATGACTCTCATTCACTGCTTATAAATCACTGTGAGAGTCATAGATCTGTAGAGAGTGAATTATTAACTAATTCTGTAAGAGTCAGAATAACAGAGAACAGATTTATTAGAAAAAGATAATAAGATACAGAGAGATTTATATCTGACTACTAAGTAGAGAGAGAGAGCTTTATAAGCTTCTATGAATAGAGTGTATAATAGAAAGATTAAGAAAAAGAGTCTCTGCTTTATCTATTCTAAATTAGAACATCTTCATACAAACTATTCAGATAAATTAAAATAGAAATTTGAAGAGTTGCAGATAGAGTCAGTAACAGTCTTCTTAAGAGTCTTAAAGCTGATATCTGAATCTGTTACTCTCTTAATGAAAATACATATTTATAAAGAGAGATCATGCTGCAGTACTACTATCTCATTAGTATAAAAAGTATTAATGAACTTAGAATCTCAGATCACTATAGTGTCTCTAAAGCTCACAGAGTGAATAAGTTGAATAATAAAAACTGAGAATCTACTCTTATAATAAGCAGAGTGTGAGAACTCAGATCTGAGAGCTGAGAGACTTATAAGAATTATTTTTGAATTGTAAGATCTCTTCAAAATCTGAAGAAGATTTACAGAAACTGTGATTATCACAGATATCACAGATAACATGTACTTGAGACTTATATAACTTTAAAGACACAATTCATACATAGCTGTCTGTGAGTCAGGTTTATACTTGTGATCAGTGTTGACAGACTCACTTATAAAGATAGAATCAGTTAATACTGCAGAGTTGATTAGAGAAGACAAGCTTATCTGTATAATGACTTTGTGAATATCTGAGAACTTTACAGTTATGAAAACTGAGTTTCAGATATCAGAGAAATATCAAGATCTCACAGAGATATTCAGTTTAACTAAGACAGCTGAGCTTTCATCTCACTGTGAGAAGAATCTGATAATAGATTTAATAGAAGAACAGAAACTCTTCTAAGAATCAATCTATAAGCTCTTTCATTATAAGACAGAGGTCTTACAGACTTATATAAAGAAGAATCTGAAGAATGACTTTATCTGATCTTCACAGGTCTCTGCAGAAGTCTCTGTGATATTTATAAAGAAGAAGAATAAAGATCTCAGATTATATATAAACTACTGTGATCTGAACTTCAAGACTATAAAGAGTTGCTATTCTCTGTCTCTGATTAAGAATGTGATGAATTATCTTACAGAAGCTATCATATTCACACAACTGAATGTGATTAATATATATATATAACTGTGAATACAGTCTGAGAATGAATGAAAGACTGTCTTTAGAACAGTCAACCGCTCCACCACGAACTCGCTCGATTTTTCGAATAAGAACCCGCCGATAGATCCATCGAAAGGCCCTCGATCATACAAGCATTTTGACCCCATCGCCGACCGCATACCCCGTGTGATAGTGGAGTTATCCAGCCAAACATGAATCAGACATTGTTTGAAACTCCTGTGTGGGATTATCCCTCATTCTCCCCTACCACACCACAACCCCGGGCCAGATTGTCATACAAATTGTAAGGGGAAGAGACCTAGCCATATGCATCAATCTTCTCAATTTTGAAAGATTCTCATTCTATAATTGTGAAGATATCTGAGAAGCAATCTCTGTGAAAACCCTGTTCATCTTTGATGTTTCAAAACACTAACACCAAGTCTCACCCTCATACCGCCCTTCCCAATCTGGCTCATCCCCAGCAGAAAAATACAAAAAGATATCTCAGTGATAATATCAAGTATATAATCAATGAACACTTCTGAAGTGCAATCTTCACAGTCTATCTTCAGTGTATCTAGACATCAATATTAAGTCTCACCCTCATACTACCTCTCTCAATCTGGCTCATTCTTAGCAGAATAATACAAAAAGATATCTCAGCAACAGTATTTGATACATGCAGATAACAAGTTAACAGAATAAGACAACAGCACATCAATAACTATAAATTCAGTATACTTCAAGATCTGACTGAGTCTTTGATCTCTGCATAGTGAGATATATTAAATCTAGTTTTAATATCTTAATATTCAATAGATTCTGCAAGAAATTGAGAATAATAATACTAGATTTCTATTGAATTTGAGAATTAACTCTATATTAATATAATTATTAACAAAGTCTTCTATTTTGAAATATAAATAATCAGTTCCTCTACATCTTGCTGACAATATTTATATTATTATATAGAAATAGACTTATATTCTCTATAATATCAAGACTCTGAAGAGAGAAAGTCTTGATAGAGAGTATATAGTAGTGTATATTTTAGCAGTTTCTATCTCATTCTTCTACAGCAGTTAATGCAAAAAAAAAGATCTTAGAAATAGTTTTTTACTTCTCTTGAAAAAGTAAGATGTTTTTCTCTGAATTTTATACAATATTCTTACAAAGAATTAAAAATAGAGCTGTTTTCTGTCATAATTTCATATTCTTTTAAGTAAGAATTACTTTTTCAGTGACTGAAGAGCTTTTATTAATACTTAATTCT